CCCTGGGTAATGTGCAGTTCAACAGGGGACTTTTCTAGACACTTGCTTCTCTAGAGGAACAGAGTGGGACAGTGGCCAATAGGAGACAATTTCTAATCATTTCAACAAATCATTGACTTCCTGTGGGCCTTGCAAAGGAGACAGGGAGGAATACAGTGGAGTCTCAGCTCTTCCAAAGCTCCCAGTACCCGAGGGTAAAATGGGTTCTCCCAAAGCCAGCTGTGTGCCAGGCACACAGATGGCATAAACAAGGGGCCATCCCTGGCTGGTTTGGCTCAGGGGTTGGAGCATCGGCCTGCGGTCCAGAGAGAACCAGTTCAGTTCCTGCTAAGGGCATATACCTCAGTTGCAGTTTGTCCCCGGCCCTGGTCGTGTGGGTGGGCAGCCACTTGATGTGTCCCTTTCACGTCGATGTTTTTCTCTCTCTCCCCCTCCCACTCTGTCTAAACAACAACAACAAAAAGTGGAAAAATGTCCTCGGGTGAGGATAAAAAAAAAACAAGGGGCCACATCTGAGAACAACAACAATAAAATCACTTTTGGATTGAAAATTTGACAAAGGAAGGTATACTTATTTGCATAGTATACCTCAAAGGTATACCAAGGAAGAGGTGGCATCTGAGTTGGGCACTGAAGGAAAGGGGACAAACGCATCAATAGACAGAGATGGGGTAGGGCACAGCCTGGCTACACAGTCTCCTCTGTCCCCTGGTTAATAAAAGCTCGTCTAGCAGCCTCCCTCTCCCGGGTTGTGTTTATAATCTTTGTAGGATCATTGGTAATCCTGACCAGCACTCAGGGAAGCTGTGTAATCTCTTCTTGTCATTGGTCTGAAGATAGGTCACTTCACCCTTTTGGGTCTCAGAGGCCTCCTCTGTGAAATGAAAACAGCACTCTACCTTACCAGGTGATTGAGGCTCAAAGGAAATGGGGCCCAGGAATGCAGAGGTCAAGTTCAGTAATTATTCCCGTTCCTGAAGCACAGGCAATAAATACTCTCTTAACCCGCCCAGCAGTCCCACAAATGGATGCTGCTGGTCACCTGGGCACCAGGAAGCCCGGGCACAAGGAGGGGTGGATGGCTTGGTGCAATCTCACCCTTCCTGCTGTGTTCAGACATGCTCGTGGATAGGTCCTCAGCATCAAAGGTCTTGCCCTAACCCGATTCAGGGGCTGGGTTAGTGGCCCTCCTGCCACACCCTCTAGTCAGGCACTCATCATACTGTATTATAATGATGGTTTAGTAGACTATTAGGCTACTTAAGAGCAGAGGTGTGTTTAATATGTCTGTTTTCTACTAAAGTGCTTAGCACATAGTATACCTCGAAATATTTGTTCAGTGACCAAATGGGTACATTATCCTTCTGAGTTGAAAGCCCATCCAAGTTAGAGTTGTTTGAGCCTCTCACTCTGCCCTTGTAAGTAAGAACCAAGAGTTTCCCAGTCTAGCCCTGGCCAGTTTGGCTCAGCGGTAGAGTGTTGGCCCACGGACCAGAGAGTCCCGGGCTCGGTTCCTGCTAAGGGCACGTACCTCGGTTGCAGTTTGTCCCCGGCCCTGGTTGGGGTTGTGTGGGTGGCAGCCACTCAGTGTGTCTCTCTCACATCGATGTTTCTCTGTCTTCTCCTCTCTCTCCCTCCTGCTCTATCTGAAGATAAATGCAAAAATGTCCTCAGGGGAGGATAAAAAAAAAAAAAAAGAGTTTCCCAATCTATACGTGGTCCTGCTTTAAGATCACCCCATGGCAGTTACAACTATCTTAGCAGCCCTAGAAGCAGCAAACTTCCCTGACCATCTCTGCCAGTGTGGGACAGACCAGGGACTCATTTCTGGGTCCTTGAAATCATCCTTTCTACCTGTAGTTTAAGCAGACAAAAAGACATCATTCAGTGACACTAAAATAAGCAGATAACTCAAGAAGAAAAAAACATCATAAAAACCCCACCCCACAAGTAAATATGGCTGAATGTTTGAATGCTGCCTATCCAGTGTGACCTGGAGGGCCTTCTGACATTTGCAGAGGCCCAGAGAGCAAAGACTGCCAGCCTCAAAGACTCCTCCCATTGCACGTGGTTCAACCTCCATACCTGCTGGGCTATTTCCTCACTGGCCAGGACCCTTTGCCCCTCCTCCCCAATCCTCAATCCTATTTTCAAAGTGTCCCCTAGTTAGGATCCTTTCTCTGCATTCCTGAGGCCCAGGTTGGGCAGCCTCACTGGTCTGCAGCTGTTGGTAAATCATAGCCACAGAGCCTTAGTTTCTTGTTATCACTCGGGAATAACATCACGAGATTATTTTGAGGATTAAATGAGATAAAATGCAAAACTCTGGTACACAGTTGGACATGTATGTCCTGTGCCTCTCTTCCCCCAATCAACCCAGTCTCTGCACTTAAACCATCTCATAGTTGGTCCCACCTAGTTTCACAGAAGCCAGACTCACTGGAAACAAAGAAACTCCCTCCCTCAGGGTGAAAAGGAAGGAGGAAGGATCTAGTAGTAATGGCCACGGGTGGGTTGCTTGCCAGCTGGACAAGTTGGGGTAAGGGTGGGGGCAGGCAGTGGGCAGAGGTGTAGCCTTTAGAGCAGAAGCTAGGGATCAGCATCTTTCTGTCACCAGCCATGTAATCTTTGGGCAAGCCCCTTTTCTTCTCGCTGTGCCTCAGTTTCCTCACCTGTGAAACAAGGTCAACCTCTCTGCCCTACCTACTTCACAGGGTCTTTGAGAAGAAGGTGCTGTACAGATGTGAGCCACAGAGATGAAGAGTAGAGGCCCAGAGGGCCTGGGGGTTGAGTGGGCACAGACAGGGTCAGGAGCTGCTTCTTCAGGGGATGGTCACCTGCTTTGAACCCAGGACCCCCACCCCAAGCCCCACACAATATATAGCTCCCACCAGAACAGCCCTTCCCTTCTGCCAATCAAAGCTACTTGCTGTTTTGAAGCAAAGATCTCTTGTTTCTGCTCCTGAGTGTCTTATTGGAGAAACTGTCCATTCTCATTTCCTTCTCTTTCCCTGTTTAACTCAGCAATTCACCTCCCTCAGATTTAAGCACATCCAGCCTCAAAAACTCTTCCTTCAAGCACATCCCCCAGCATTTGAGTTAACTCTTAAAAGAGGAAGGCCACAGATTATATCCTCCTATGGCTAGCGCGTGACAGACATAGGGCACTCAGGAAATAACTACTGGATCAGTTTATAATTGTTAAAATTTCTGTTGTTAAATATTTAAAGAGAAGAACACTCTACTACACAAGAGACTGGTGACATCCCACATGGGACTAGAAGCCCCAGTGGGCAGGGACCCTGTCTATCTCCTGTAACAGGGGTACACAACCTGTAACCCAGGTTGTGACCAGGCTAACTCCATTCAAGCTCCTTGGTTTCATCCTGCAGCACGATCATCAGACAGCGGGGCAGAGTATCACAGTGGTTAAGAGCAAGGACCCTGGCATTTGAATCCTGGCTCAATCACTTACTAGTTATGTGACTTTCAGCAAGACACTTAACTGTTCTGAATCCAAAAATAAGAAAAATACCTATTTCCCCCAGTTGCTGTGAAAAGCAAAAGAGAAAATGCAGGCAAATCATTTTCACTGTGGTTGACACATATTAAGTGCTAATAAATCAAGGCTTGTTAGTATCACAAGACTTGACCCCTGACCCCAGTTGCAGCCCGCTGCAAAATAGTCACCCAAGTCCTTTCTCCTCTGTTCAAACTTGCCTTTGTCTTTTGCAGAATGCAATGTACAAAGACAACTCAGACAGACAAAGAGGAATTATGAAGACAGAGAGGAGGGGATATGGCTACCAGAAAGAAGGATTAACTTGCACTGTCCAATCTAGCCAACTACCTGCATCATCACCCCTTCCTGGTCTTTCTAGGTTAATCTTCCCTCCCTGGGCCCTTCAGCCTCCAGAGGTAACCGAATTCCAACCACATTCATTGAGTTGAATTAGAACAGTAAATCCAAACCACTCCTGTTGCATATTCTGAATTGGACACCAAAGGCTGCTGGTGTTTCTTAACAAATCTCTGTGTAGGGGAGCCAGATTTTAATAAATAAAAAAATACAACGCCCCATTAACTTTGAATTTCAGATAAATAACGATTAACTTTTTAATGTTGGTATGCCCTATGTAATATGGGTCATATTAATACTAAAAACTTATTGTTTATCTGAAATTCAAAGTTAATGGAGCACCCTATATTTTAATATTTTATCCGGAAACTCTACCCAAGGACACAGCATAAAGAAAAAACCTTCTCTCTGCTCCACAACCTACCAGCACCCCCCCCCCCACCACCGTATTCTAATCAGCCAACCTAGAAGCATTTCTTCCTTTGGCCCTCAAGCACAGCAAACAAGCTGTGGGAGCTTTTCCGGAGCTGCTCAGCCCAGTGATCTGCCTTGTCTGAGTGCCCAGTACACAGCCAGGCCCATAGTAGGTGCTCACAATAATTCCTCATTCATTCCAGGCTGCTTGAGCTCTAGTGCTGGGCCCAGTAGAGTGTGGATGAGATGGGCAAGGCCAACCTTGGCTCTGCAGCAGGCTACGAACATCATGACTAGGTGGGGGTGAGCAGGTCAAACCACCGGCTTTCTGTTTTGAAGATCAAATACGAAAATGGCCAGGGATATGTTCTGTAAATCCCTGGGCAGCACATAGGTATTACCATGACCTCTGAGAGGCCCATTTTACCACAGAGCCCCACAAGCCCCCACTCTTCCTTTGGGAGAGGAGGAACTCCACGGGGACATTGAAGCACATGGCAGATGGAAGCCAGTACCTCTGGATACTAATAATGACTAACAATTGTCCATTACTTTGTGGAACACCTTCACCTACATCCCTAGAGGCCACACCACAGCCCCACAACGTGAATGAGGTTTCCTGGACCATTTCCCTGAGGGTGGTCAGGGTGGTCTGCCCGAGGTAGAGCCTGGTCCAACTGACTGAGTGTGGGGGTCCTACCCATGGGTTGGCAGGAACAGGGCCTACCTTCTGGGCCTGTTGGATCATCTGCCTGATCACCTGCTTGAGGTGGGGTGCCTTTTCCTCCTTGGGGGGGTGAGTGAAGAGGGTGACGCGACTCACGCCGCGGTAAAAGCCGGTGTCGGTCCAGCCTAGGTCCAGCGGGGGCACCTCGGTGTCGGAGCGGTCGGGCCAGTAGGCCAGGGACTCGCAGGGTTCGGCCGGGGTCTGCGGCGGGGCCTTGGCCTTGGCCTTGCTCTTGCCCCGGGAGGTGGTGGCCGCGGCGGGGGCGGGGTCCTCGTAGGGGCTCCAGGCGGCGCAGAGGGCCTGGCGCTCCTCGCTGGACAGGAAGTCCCGCAGCTGCTCCTTCTTGACCCGCTCGCGGTAGGCCTGCTCGCCGCCGCCCAGGAGCGCCTCCAGCGCGGCCCGTCGCCGCTCGCAGTAGTAGAAGGCGGCCTGCGCCTCTGTCACCCGCTCGTTCACGTGGGTCTCGTCCAGGCAGCTCAGCTGGGACTCGGCCATGGTGCTCGGCCGCCCGCCCCGGCCCGGCAGCGGCCCGGGTCCCACCGCCGCACCTGGAGCCGCCGAGGGGCGGGGCGCCTCACCTGGCCGCGAGGTCGGCCAATCGGCGCGGGCCGGAGCGCGGGCGCGGCCGTCGGGCGGGGAGGGGCGGCCTCGCCCTCTGCTTCCGCAGGCCCTACCGGCGCTGACGATCTCGGGGTTCCCCGGGGCCTCGGTGAGGCCTGAGCCTGCGGGGCCCAGCCCGTGTCGGGAGCTCCCACGTGCGACCTCTGGCCCGCTGCCACCTCCCGGCCCCGACCCTTCGTGGGGGAAAGGTGGAGGAGCTAGCTAACCCTTCCTGCTGCCTCCGGCAGCCGAGTCAGACGCCTCGCAGGTGTGTGTTCATTCCCCCTCCCGCCTCTCGCAGGTAGGCCCGGAGCATGTGCTCTGGCCCGCGAGCCTCTGGGGCTGAGGATCTGACCTCTCCCTGTTTCAGAGCCTGGGGGCCCTGCTGCTAGATCGGATTGTAACGGCTGAGGAGGGGCGGTTAGTGTGCAAAAGCAAAATGCTAATTAAACCCCCAGCTCCCCGCCCACGCGTCCCATTTCTGCGATCAGAGGCCTCCCCCAAGAGGTTGTCAATCCAACACCTTCACCACGATAAAAATTTCTTAAAATAATAATAATAATAAAATCCCAAATACAGCAAGGATGTAAGCAGCAGTGGAGGACCCCCCCCCCCATTTTAATTTGAAGTGGAGTGTGTGTGTGTGTGTGTGTGTGTGTTTGGGCAAGATAGGCTGCCAGAGGCCCGATTACCATATTAGTGATTCAAAATAGATGTTTGACTTAAGGAAGAAAGCCATACATGCAGACACACAGACACACACTCACTCACTCACTCACTCACCACCACCAGTAGCAGCTCTGCGGTTTCCCTTTGGATTAAATAGAATCTTCTTAGTCATTAACATATTTTGTTCAAGCACTGTTGTAAATTTGATTCTCTACATTCAAAATATTTTCAGATCATAGCAACCAAGGGTTCACAGTTCTCTCATTTTATAGCATAGCGTCTTAGAGCTGGAAGGAGCTTTAGAAACTAGTCCAACCCCCTCATTTTACAGATGAGGGAATTGAGGCCTAGATACACATGGTTTGCCCAGGCTCCCTGTAAAGAGAAACAGCCCTTGAGGTTCTTTGTCCTTTCTATTTCTCTTGTGAAATGACAGGGTTTGAGACCTGATTTTAATCCCAGGGATTTTGAAGAGGCCTCCTACTCTTTTTGGGTCTTCCTTTGATGGTCTGAAAAAAAAAAATGAGGGTTAGATTTTCAAATATACGCAAATTTTGTTACAATAATCAGTTCTGCCATCCTGTGTCAGCCCAAAGATCAGGGTGGTGAACATCAGGTGCCTATTACCTTACCTGTACCCTTTTCTACTCTTGGGAATTGAAAAGCTTCACTCCTGGTAACACTCTACTCATAAGCATAGATAAATTTCATCTTTAGATTGGAGAGCATTTAGTTTGTTTCCTCATGACTTCTGACCTGGGGAGGAAGCATTTACTCAAGGCCTACTATGTGCTTGGCACACCGTATGTGCTCAGTACAGATTTCTTTAAAAAAGAATGACACAGGGATGTGAAGTACAGCATAGAGAATATAGTCAATAATATTGTTATTACTAGGGATGGTGCAGATTGGTACTAGACTTATCAGGGTGATTGATTCATAAGGTATCTAGATGTCTAATGACTATGTTGTATACCTGAGACTAATGTAATATTACATGTCCACTGTAATTGAAAAATAAATTTTAAAAAGAGAGAATGAATTAGGGCCAAGAGAAAGGTATATGCAGGGAGCTGTGGGGGCTCTGAGGGAAGAAGTAATTATCCAATGGGATGTGGATAAGAAGGGCTTCACCCAGCATGAAGGGATTTTGAGTGGAGCCTAAAAGGATGAGAATTCAAGAGGGAGAGGGAGTGAGGACATTCTAGGTAGAGGGAGTTGAGATTGGGTATATCAGAGCATCATGCTAGTATCAGGTACTCACGGATTCAGTTCAAGATATAGTCATGGGCCTCATAGAGACGTTTTGGTCAATGATGGATGTCAGTAGTCCCATGAGATTATAATGGACCTGAAAAACCCCTATAGCCTAGTGTCGTCGCTGTTGTAGGGTCGTAGTACAATGCATTACACATGTGTTTGTGGTGATGCTGGTGTAAACACATCTATTGCACTGCCAGTGCTGTAAAGTACAGCACATACAGTTATACACAGTACATAGTACTTGATAATGATAATAAATGACTGTTACTAGTTTTTGTATTTACTATACTTTTTCATTGTTATTTTAGAGTGTACTTTCTTCTTATAAAACAACATTTGCTGTAAAATAGTATGCCATGTTCTGCTGGCAGCATCCTCATACATCTCATGTTTGCCTGTCTCTTGATTGTAACATTTTCTCTTGTGTTTGATTTAATTTCGTGTTGTTTTGTACAGTCACATGCTGTACAGTCTCATAGCCTAGGAGCAATAGACTATCCCTCACAGCCTATGTGTGTAGTCGGCCATACCATTGAGGTGTGTGTAAGTGTTCTCTATGATGTTTGCACAATGACGAAGTTATCTAACGACATATTTCTCAGAATGCATCCCCATTGTCAAGCAGTACGTGGCTGTATTTAACTCTCAGGGCCATAGTGTCCACATCTGTAAAAAAATAATAATTCTGACCTCCCGTGAGCTCCCAGATTGTTGTAGGGAAATGAGATTATGTATTTGATTTAATTAGCCCTATCTGACTGGTAGAAAGTGGTTTACAATCGTGCTTCTAAAACTTGACTGTGCTTTGTAGTCACCTGGGGAAATCTTGCTAAAATGCAGATTCTGATTCAGTAGGTTTGAGGTGAGACCCAAGATTCTGCATTTCTAGCAAGCTCATAGATAGTGCTGACAGTGCTTACTTATAGACTGCACTTTGCATAGCAAGGATTTCAGAGGTCGGTGAATAGGAGCATGAACTTTTACGTCAGAGAGTCCTGGAATGGAGTCCTACTTTCCTGGGATAAGCTGAGCGTCCCTGGGAAAGTTACTTCCCCTTTCTGGGCTTTGGTCACATCATCATTAAAATATAGGCAATGGTTAAGTCTTACTGTTCAGGGCTGTGTGAGAAAAGAAACAAGCTAATGATCATACATCACATAGTAGAGTGTCTGATAGCCAGTAAAGGGTAGTTAGTGTCAAAGTGTGGGAAGATGGGACTGGAAGAAAGGGATACTGGGGCCAAATTGTGGGGACCTTGGCTTTAGATCTCATTCTGTAGCTAGAGGGGAGCCACTGAAGGTTATTAAGAGTCTGATATGGTCATTAAAACAAAATAGTAGCGATTACTATGTGCTAGGGATTATGCTAAATATTTTAAGTATCCTTGAAGTGAATTCATAAAATCCTATTAGAAAAAGTATTATTATTTCCATTTTACAGGTGAGAAAACTGAAGCACAGAGAGGTTCAGTAGATCATTCTAGGTTTCCCAGCTAGTAAGTTAGAAGAACCAGGATTAAAACCTGGACCATCTGACTCCAGAGATTGCCTACCTACCCACCTTGTTTTATTGCCTGAGTTGAGAATGCTAGAAAGGGACATTAGTAAAAGACAGTTTTCCCCTTGTTTAATAATTTATTCATTCAACAAACATTTGCTGAATGCTTAGCATTATGCTACGGGCTACAAACCATTCATTCATTTACCAAGTCCTTGACCATGTGGAGCTTACATTGACGTAGAATGAATAAGACATGGTTTTTGCTCTCAGGGAACACAAATGGTATATGGCACAAATTGGAATAGAACAGAAAGTGAGAGAGAATCAGAGTAGAATACTTTAGTAACAGTTCACATTGAACAAGATCTTTCTTAGATCTAACTGACTGAAACATAGTGTGGTCTTTTGTAATGTTTCCCTTTACATACCAATGACTTATTTATTTAATCAACATTTTTGAGCAGTTAATGTGTACTAGATAACATGCTTGCCTCTGAGAATAAAACAGAGAAATCAGCCCTGGCCGGTTTGGCTCAGCGGTTAGAGCGTCGGCCTGCGGTCCAGAGACACCCGGGTTCGGTTCCCGCTAAGGGCATGTACTTCAGTTGCAGTTTGTCCTCAGCCCTGGTTGGGTGAGGTGAGAATAAAAAAAAAAGAGAGAGAAATCAGACATGATAGCCAGCTGCTCCGGTGGTTCCCTTCACTTAGTGGGCAGTCAGATACCCGGTCTTTACAAGGTTGGTTGATAAGTGACACAATGGTCCTCACAGAGAGGTTTCAGGCTAAGGGGGTATTTTAATGTTCAGTTACCTAATTTGACTGCCCCAATCTGGTAAAGTCGACTGAAAGCAATTAATGTCCAGTGTCAGAGATGAATAAACTGAGGCTCTGGGAGGTCTCTTCAAGGTTATCTGCTGGCAAGTGAAATGCTGGGACACATGCTCACAACCTGACCCCAGGCCTTCCACCCAGCCACCCAGATGAACACTCTGTGTGTTTCTACTGAGATTCTTAAAAAGTCTTATTGGCCAGGAAATGAATTCCTTTTAGTCATAGGCCCTATTGTGCCTGGGGACATTCCATGAATCTGTGACATCTGAGGAAAACTTCTGATCCTCCACTGGCTCTTCCTGCCCTGGGTCCAGAGCTTCCCTGAGCGAGGTGGGGCTCCCCACCTTTACGTTTCCAACTTCAGGGGCCACCTCGGGCAGGTGACTGTGCCTCCTAAGAAATCACGCCTCCCGCTCCCTCCTCCCTCAGCAGAGGCCCCTCCCTTCTGCTTGGGCACTTGGCTCTCATTCACCTTTCTCTCACCCCCTGCACACTGCTGGCTACTGTGCAGTAAAGATATGACACTTTGTAGTTGACAGTAATTGTAGCTGTGTTTATCCCCACACATGTCTGTTTTTCCCTCTTGTGTAATGCAAGTCCCCAAATAGCCCACCTCATGATATAAGTTTCCC